AACAGAAATGAAAGCCTATTTAAAAAGATCCTTGTCCATTGGAAGCAACAAATTTTAATTTCAGTTTGGGTTTGTTGTAGTTTGCTGTTATAGACAAATTCAACAAAATCTTTGCTTTTATACTGGAATTAACTATAGCTTATTTAATGGAAGTAAGTATAAATTTATTTATATATTTTGAACTAACTATATAATCCTATGTTTATTGCAAAAATGAACTTTTTGTGCAAAATTCACTAAAAAATGTTATTTTTTTGTATTTATAATCAATTTACTCCAAACAAGGCAGTGATGCCACTAAGTGACAAGAGGTTACTGGGAGTGAAAGAGCATGAGGAGACTTTAGGAGAAGGAAATGGAAACCCAATCCTAAACAGAGAACAAAAGATAAACCTGTAGAATCAGATTCCTACATTTCTTTTTAAATCTTAAATTTTGTGCAAGTTAAACACATAGAGGCTCCCAACCAGATATAACAACTGATGTATTTTGATTGGTTGTAAAATATTAATTAGGTGTTGTCAACTACGTCCGAAGGTACCAACCCAAATTTTGACCTATAGTTGACGCCATAAAATGTAAACATGTTCACGAGCCTCCCCACGTGACCAAGAGAACTAATAAAAAAGAAACTTCGACGCGACTTGGTCAGTGGACACTTAAAATATTGAACCAATTCACTTGACTTCATTGGAAATCAACAGAGCAAAGGAGACAAACTTTATCTTCAATACAGCAACAAACCTTGTCAACCATTTCCAGGCTTAACGCTCGCTCCCACAAAATATTCTATTCCACAAGAAGAATCTCTGGTTAATGAGCGATAACTCTATAACAATCAGTGAGTCAAGAACAATACTTTTTTCTGTTTAATACAAAAACAAAAACAACTGTTTAATTTTCCTATAAAAACAAATATAGCTAACTACACCTTCTCATTTTCCCATGTACAGTAGAGTAACTCAAATTCTTTCAGTAACACACACCAAAGAACTCTGTTGTGTTTATCAACTTTTGCACTATATATTATGTATTTGTTGTGTTTATAAAAAATATTTATTGTTGAACAAATTCACAATTTCTTCTACTTGATTATTTCTCTTGTTGTTGTCTTTGTTACATTTGATGTTGTAAAAATTGTAGAGGGTCAGTTTTTATTTCTATTTATAACCAATACAAATTGGCTGACCCACTATAAACCGCTACTCCTTTTCAAAAGACCATGGAAGTTTATTAACATTTTTTTACTTAAAGTTAATTAAATATTCTTCTCTATTAAACTTTTATTTATAAAAGCAAATACACTAATGATAAAAATACTTCTTTCGTACAATATGTATTTGTTTCTGACATAAAAATTATGTTCAATGTTAGCACAGTTTTTATACTGAAAGGTAATTTTTTACACTGCAAAATTAAAGAAAAAGACTTGAAGATCTAGACAAGGAAATTTGCTCTAAGATGTGAATAATTTTGTTTGATTTAAAGAAATCAGTTATTATTCTGATTTTTTTTGCATCTTTCTTCTTACAAATGTTAAAGACTCTCTCACAAAAGTTAATTTTTTTTAATATTTGGTCATATTTGATTCTTCACAAACTTTCTTCCATAATTGTTTTTCCACTGCAAAGAAAAATGCAACTATTTGTGATATAAAATTAATATTTGTCTTAATGATATTGTTATTCATAACAACAAATATATTGATAATAGAATTTAATTTTTGATTAGTAATTTGTGTTTTTCTTTCTAAAACATATTTAAAAAGATATGTTGAGCTTTAGTTTACAGCTAAAAAAACATGAAACAGAAGCGAATGTAATACTCTTATACAACAAAATAAATGAAAAAGTAATTTATTAAGAATGGTATCTTTCAAAATTTCTCCCAAAATTTCTGAAATTCAAACAATTTGAAGAAAGCCTCTAGAATACCAAACTATATATGTATATATATACATGAATTATTCATACAAAACTAATGCAAAGGTTAATGATTTAAATGGCAAGACATCCATCTTGCAAACGATTCAAATAGTACACAAAAACCTCTAAATCCGTTATGCATGAGTTGATCCTTGTTTATATAAATTTCTGCCGTATTAGTTGTTATTTTTACTACAAGCTTTCGTCTGTTCCTACAGACATCGTCAGGTATATAATAGATGTTGTTCTTGGTTTTTTCTCTTAGTAATAAGAGGACATCGAAAATATATGTGTATTGTATCCGAAATGCTATTAAAAATGAGTTATTGGTTTTTGAACGCGCCAAAGCAACGCTGAGTTTGATTTTGAATTTTTTAAAAATGTCTGCGTCTATACCAAATATGGTAATGAAATCAAATCAGATTTTATAACATATTTATGTTATAATTTTTAAATAAATAATTATATATATATATATATATATATATATATATATATACTTTTAAAAATCAGATCATATATATAAGTTTGATTAAAAAGAAATGACAAGGTCTGTCTGTTTAATTTATATTGCATTTATTTACTTTTTGAATAGAGTGTTGTATATTATCATAAAAAGTATGGATAAAATCTACAAAGTTCATATTTCTGTTGTTATGAAGTTCAGACAGTTTATCCACAATTCCACTCGTGATACACAAGAATTTATTTGCAAATTGGAAATATGCAGTAAGAAATTTAACAGATAGACCTCATTGGTTCTTTTTTGGATGAATATTTCTGCTTAAATATACCTTATTCATATATATATATATATATATATATATATATATATATATATACCCAAGTATAGGATGTGTGCAAAATGGAATAAATTCCAATAACCAAAACACACTATTCTTAAAAGAGTGCTCAATGCAGAGTAAAAATCTATTTGAAAATTATAACATAAATATGTTATAAAATCACTACAAAAATAGCCATTTAGTTTCAACACTTTGGTGTTTTATCAAGTGATAGTGTTACACCATCACTTGATAAGACATGAGAAATTTTTAAAGTATATATATATATATATATATATATATATATATATATATAATTATTTATTTAAAAATTATAAAAAAAAATATAATTATTTGATTTAAATTTTTTATTTTTAGATTTAAAATTAATCAGTTTGTCTGCCGATTGCAAATAGCGTGAAATCCAGGGTCACAAAATCACACAATCCAGCTAAATATATATATATATATATATATATATATATATATATATATATATGTTATGTCCAAATTTTTCACTATTTGCACTGTTTGCATAATAGTGGTTAATGATATATTAAGACAGAATATATATATATATATATATATATATATATATATATATATATATATATATATATATATTTATATCAGTGTGCGATAGATAAATTATTGTCCAAATTATGCATAATTGAAAATAATGATTGACGTCTCATTTTAACAGATATATTTACCATGGTAAATATGTCTGTTACAATGAGATGTCACATATATATATATATATATATATATATATATATATATATACTGTATGTCTTCAAAAACAGGAGGTAATGGATTTAACCATTTTTTATTTTTCAACATGTTTGTGGTCATGCATATTGGCTTGGGAAAGTAGTAATTCTTTCAAGAAAGGTGAGATTGGAAAGAAATCAGTGCGTAGATTTATATTTTGATAAAATTTGATAGTGGCAATCTTGAGAATTTTCCCTCTGAATAAATTACTTTCTCATTTTATATATAGAATATGTTGCCTCTTAATGTTGACTTTCATATTTATATATATATATATATATATATATATATATGAAAGTCAACATTGAGACAACACTCTGTCTGAACTTGTGCACAATCTTCAAGCATGAAACAGCCATTTGTGTTTGTTTAATACCCACAGAACCTGCTTGTGGTTTATACTGCAACTATGCTGAGCGGACCTTAGTTACAGTTTCTGGGAGAGTGCATGTTATCTAGTGTGATGAGCAGACTGAGCAAGGCCAGCATAGTGAAACCCTTGATGAATTGTGACTTCATGTTAGTACTACAACCACTGGTGTCTCCCAAAGGATAATGTCAACCCAATTTCACTCACAATGCTTGGATCAAACTGTGGTATAGTTTTCAGGCACTTTCCAAAAGTGCCATACACTGGGATCACTGATAATATCAAGAAGTCACCTTCCTGACAAATCAACCATGGTGAGATTTGAACCTGGGATTCATGGTCAGAAAGCAAATGTTCTAACCACTCGACCATATGCCAATCTATATATATATATAGAAAACATTATAATATCAAGATAGCCAGGCACATAATTGATATAGAAAACTGCATTCTTTTTCTTCTCTTGTGTAAGAAACAAATCACTTCTTAATGTTTTAACATTTAAAGGAAAAATATTGTCCCCATGAGATTTTCTATATTTTATGGCAGTGTGCCAACATAAAATGGTCATGTGATAAAAAGTTAAAAACATCATTTTATTTCCTTTTATAATCTTTGTATGTTTTGGTTTAAAACAGCTTGGCTCCTAAAATTCTTCATGATTGACACATTTAATTCCTTGAAATTGAATGACTCACAAGGCCATAGATTATTAAAACCATTTTGTTCTCTTATTATTGTTACAAAACAAAAAATGCAATACTTTAAAAACAACATAATACAAGTTAAAGATTTTAAAGGATACAAATTCTCTCCAGGAAAGAAAACTCAGAAGAATCGGAATCAATAAATGTTTACTTATTACTGAAATCTACTTTGTAGAATTTCATCTTTCTCAATATTTTTACTTTTCTTTTCAGATTGTAAAGACAAAATTCAGTAAGAATAAAAATTGCATTTTGACTGAACAATCACAGGAAAAAGAGAGCAAACTAAAAATGGAGATTATTATTCTCATTTAAAAAAAAATGAGAATCATTGCATTATTACAAGAATAAAGTACAAAGACTTTATTGTGAAGAGACTTTCTAAATTGATTCAGATATGAAGCAGATATAAAAAGAAAATCATAATAATTAAAAGTGCATGCAGACACATAAAGCATGTAAATGGATACACAGAGTCATATGCATAGGCATATACACAATATCTATCTATCTATCTATCTATCTATCTATCTATCTATCTATTTACCTATCAGTCTATATACCTACCTACTGTTCTAACTATCTATTTATCTATCTTTCTATCTATCTACATAACTACGTATCTGTCTGTCTATCTATCCATCTACCTACCTACCTACCTACCTATATATATATATATATATATATATATAGATATATATATATATACTGAACTCTCCCGTGTTTTTTTTTTCTGACATATGAGGGTCAAGCAATTTAGTCAAGGAACCAAGTGCCAGACACCAGCACATATGATTTGATTATAGTGGTGAAGGCTTTGTGCAGAACTAACTACACTTTTTGAAGGGCCAAATACAGAGAGCCATATCTGGAGGAAGAAGTGGATTCATGCCTTTCTCAAGGGTATCAGCATGTAAGTGAATGTAATGGATCTGACTGGAATTCAAACTTGGCTCTCCGATTCCTCAATCTGAGCCACTATCCATTATTCCACCATACCTCCTCACCTTTTATATATATATATATATATATATATATATATATATATATATATATATATATATACCTACTTATTTGTCTGTCTATCTTTCTGTCTATCTTTCAATTTATCTATCATTCTAAGTTTGATCATATATATATTTAATAGGAGAAAATAGGTTTGCCTATTGGCCAGTTTACACTCCTCCTGAGTCTTTTAAACAGGAGTATAGATTTATCCATTGTTCTCTTTTTAGGATTGGGTTTCTGGTTCATTCTGAAATCTTTTCATTCTCTTTCACTCCCAGTAGAACTTTGCATCATTGTAGCTTTATCACTTTGATTAGGGTGAATAGATTAAAAAAAATCTGCATAAGTCTGTCATTTTCTATCCATCTTACAGATGCAACCATTAATCTAGCTTAGTCTCTTTATAAAAATATCTATCTTCATCTCTTCATATCTATCTATCTATCTATCTATCTATCTATCTATCTATCTATCTCTTTACATATCTCTCTATGTATCTATCTTCAGCTCTTCATAACTATCTATCTCTGTCTCTTCATATCTATCTATCTATCTATCTTCATTGCTTCATATCTATCTATCTTCATTTCATATCTATCTTCATCACTTCATATCTATCTATCTATCTATCTATCTATCTATCTATCTATCTATCTTCATTTCATTTCATATCTATCTATCTATCTTTATCACTTCATATCTATCTTTATCTCTTCATATCTATCTATCTATCTATCTATCTATCTTCATTTCATTTCATATCTATCTATCTTTATCACTTCATATCTATCTTTATCTCTTCATATCTATCTATCTATCTATCTATCTATCTATCTATCTATCTATCTATTTATCTATCTTCATTTCATTTCATATCTATCTATCTTCATCAATTCATATCTATCTTCATCTCTTCATATCTATCTATCTATCTATCTTCATTTCATTTCATATCTATCTATCTATCTTTATCACTTCATATCTATCTTTATCGCCACATCTATCCATCTATCCATCCATCCATCCATCTATCTATCTTCATTTCATTTCATATCTATCCATCCATCTTTATCACTCCATTCCATCCATCCATCCATCGATCCATCTATCCATCTATCCATCTATCCATCTATCTTCATTTCATTTCATATCTATCTATCTATCTTTATCTCTTCATATCTATCTACTTCATCAATTCATATCTATCTTCATCTCTTCATATCTATCTATCTTCATTTCATTTCATATCTATCTATTTATCTTTATCACTTCATATCTATCTTCATCACTTCATATCTATCTATCTATCTATCTATCTATCTATCTATCTATCTATCTTCATTTCATTTCATATCTATCTATCTATCTTTATCACTTCATATCTATCTTTATCTCTTCATATCTATCTATCTATCTATCTATCTATCTTCATTTCATTTCATATCTATCTATCTATCTATCTATCTATCATCTATCTATCTATCTATCTTCATCAATTCATATCTATCTTCATCTCTTCATATCTATCTATCTATCTTCATTTCATTTCATATCTATCTATCTATCTATCTATCTTCATCAATTCATATCTATCTTCATCTCTTCATATCTATCTATCTATCTATCTATCTATCTATCTATCTATCTATCTTCATCTCTTCATATATATCTATTTCATGTTGTCTATCTGTCTGTGTGAGAATGAAGGTAAATTAATGACAAAAAAATCCAGTGTGATGTATTTTGTCGTTTTGGACTTCATTGGACTAAAGCATTGTGTTTGTTGATGGAATTGCATGTGCATAAGAAAGATAGTGGGGAAGATAAGAATGCAAATGTTGGAGCCTTAAAGATTTTTAATTCAGTTTTTTATTCAATGTGTCCAGGATCTTTTAAAAAAAAACACACTCAGTGCATTAGTTGCTCACTGTAATGAAACTGATCATAATTTCAATTTTAAAAAGTGCTATTTTAATTAACAGAGAAAGCAATTTACTAGGGTGAACAAGTAGCTTTGATCATCCATAGTAAATTCATGTCCAGCTACTTACAATATTTCACTTTTCTAGGCAGATCTTCTATTACCCCAATGTGAGAAACTTTCTGCTACTGAAATAATAAAAACAAGAATGAAAATCACACATGAAATGACACATTTTTTGACTGGCTGTTGATTCAGTTGTCTCAAAAAATAACCTCCTTCGTATATAAAAAAAATCTTGACATATTCCTGACTTTTTTTCTTTCCAGATAATTTTTATTTCAATATATTGTTACTCATAAAACCAATGATTACAATGAAACAATGTTGAGTAATCTTACTGTATAAGTACAAACTAGGAAAAAGAACCATTTTTGCATTGAAACATTACATGCAATGAGAAATGGATACTCTTTGACAACAGTAAGACAGGCCAGTGGTTAATGCAAGTGAATCACCAAAACAATACCCAAAAGCTCTACTGCATTCTAAAAAGTTAATGGTGGTCTTTCAAAGGGGTTATATATTATTTATTCTTACCTCAAGGGAAAACAATGACAGCAACCTCGTATTGTGGAGAAACTGAGTGTATGCATAAAAAAATGAAAAAGAAACATCGTAGACTTGTGAATAAGGATGGTCCAATTTTGCTGCATGATAACGCACGTCTGCATGCTTCTCAGTCAACTGTCCAAAAGTTGTATAGCCTGAATTATGAAATTTTGCTTCCTCCTCCTCCTCCCTATTCACCTGATATCTCTCCTACTGATTATCACTTATTTAAGCATTTTCAAACATTTCATAGGCAATAAAACATTTTTCAATAAGGAAGAAGCAATCAAAGCATTTGAACTGTTTATCACATCAAAGGATAAGAATTTTTTTAAAGATGGGATCAAGAATTTAGAGGTACATTGGCAAACAGTCATTCCTCAACATGGTGCCTATTTCAACTAAATAAGTTAGTTATTTAAGATTTCAGAAATATTTTATTCATTTCCTATAAAGTGCAACATTTCATGTATGACAACCTAATATAAATTGATTGTTGACGGATTCTTTTTTACAGCTTATCAACCCATTGCAGGTTATTTAAAGCTGGAGCTTACAAGTCCATGGGGCCATTTCCATTTGGGAATATATCTTTCCCAGGTATGGAAAGAAACTCCAGTTTGCAGTCCTCAATTTGGGAAAACCTAAGACTTGCTGTTTCCCGTTTGTGGAATATATTCTCACCAGGAACATAATAGTTGAATCAGCCTGATTTGAATCTGGAGTCCTAAATGGGGCTTCTCCAGGCACAGGATTATCTCCATATTATATGTAAGAACTTTACTTTTTGTTTCTCTTTACACTCTGCTTAGCTGTGTAGATATATGTGATATATTATTCTCCACATGAATCATGTTTATATATAGTTTTGGTATGTCTTAGTGATATAAAAGTTTCTCTGAGAACAAAGCATGTTTCTTATTCCTTTTCCTATCAGTCATTCCATTCCATCGTGAAGTACGTTGATATTATATCACAGATGTAATAATGCTCATAATGAGGGAAATTCAATGGAAGAATAAATCCTTCTTCCATAGCTCTTACCTGATACAGATATAATAATGATTTAGTGATACAAGTCTTACTAATTAACCCATTGCTAGGGGGAGAAGAAGCGGATTCATACCTTTTTCCAATAGTATCTGCAAATAGAATAATATAATGAACCACACTGGAATTTGAAGTTGGCTTTCTGATTAACATTTCTGAGCCATTATCCATTTACACCACCCACACATCCATGCCTGCAGCACCTCAATGTTGCTTAAATTGGTGAATGTATGAGAACCACTGTTTCAATGTAATGAAATGTAAGCCATGAAAGCATAGAGAAATCAATTGAAATTGCAGAAATTTTTCATTTTATGTGTCTAAGTTGGGAAAGGGACATTCCAGTGCAGCCCATTTATTTATAGTCACCTCTCCTTCTATTTAACCTCATATTTATAGTCCCCTCCCCTTCTATTTTACCACATATCTATAGTCGACTCCCCTTCTATTTAAACTCATATCTATAGTCCCCTCCCCTTCTATTTAGCCTCATATCTATACTCCCATCCCCTTCTATTTAACCTCATATCTATAGTCCCCTCCTATTCTATTTAACCTCGTATCTATAGTCCACTCCCCTTCTATTTAACCTCAAATACATATAGTCCCCACCCCTTCTATTTAACCTCATATCTATAGTCCCCTCCCCTTCCATTTAGCCTCATATTTATAGTCCCCTACACTTCTATTTAGCCTCATATTTATAGTCCCCTCTTCTTCTAATTAGCCTCATATCTATAGTCACCTCTCCTTATATTTAGCCTCATTTATATAGTCCCCTCCCCTTCTATTTAGCCTTATATTTATAGTGCCCTACACTTCTATTTAGCCTCATATTTATAGTCCTCTGTCCTTCTATTTAACCTCATATCGATAGTCCCCACTCCTTCTATTTAGCCTCATATCTATAGTCCCCTCCCCTTCTATTTAGCCTCATATTTATAGTCCCCTCCTTTTCTATTTAACCACATATGTATAGACCTCTCCCCTAGTATTTAGCCTCATATCTATAGTCCCCTACTCTTCTATTTAGCCTCATATTTATAGTCCTCTCTCCTTCTATTTAACCTCATATGTATAGTCCTCTCCTCTTCTATTTAGCCTCATATCTGTAGTCCCCTCCCCTTCTATTTAGCCTCATATTTATAGTCCAGACTCCTTCTATTTAACCTCCTATCTATAGTCCCCTCTCCTTCTATTTAGCTTAATATCTATAGTCCCCTCCCCTTCTATTTAACCACATATGTATAGACCTCTCCCCTAGTATTTAGCCTCATATCTATAGTCCCCTACTCTTCTATTTAGCCTCATATTTATAGTCCTCTCTCCTTCTATTTAACCTCATATCTATAGTCCTCTCCCCTTCTATTTAGCCTCATATGTATAGTCCTCTCCTCTTCTATTTAGCCTCATATCTGTAGTCCCCTCCCCTTCTATTTAGCCTCATATTTATAGTCCAGACTCCTTCTATTTAACCTCCTATCTATAGTCCCCTCTCCTTCTATTTAGCCTAATATCTATAGTCCCCTCCCCTTCTATTTAGCCTCATATTTATAGTCCCCTCCCCTTCTATTTAACCACATATGTATAGACCTCTCCCCTAGTATTTAGCCTCATATCTATAGTCCCCTACTCTTCTATTTAGCCTCATATTTATAGTCCTCTCTCCTTCTATTTAACCTCATATCTATAGTCCTCTCCCCTTCTATTTAGCCTCATATCTATAGTCCCCTCTCCTCCTATTTAGCCTCATATCTATTGTCCCATAACCTTCTATTTAGCCTCATATTTATAGTCCTCTCTCCTTCTATTTAACCTCATATCTATAGTCTCCTCTCCTTCTATTTAGCCTCACATCTATAGTCCCCTCCCCTTCTATTTAGCCTCATATTTATAGTCCTCTCCTCTTCTATTTAGCCTCATATCTATAGTCCCCTCCCCTTCTTTTTAGCCTCATATTTATAGACCTCTCTCCTTCTATTTACCCTCATATCTATAGTCCCCTCTCCTTCTATTTAGCCTCATATCTATAGTCCCCTCCTCTTCTATTTAGCCTCATATTTATAGTCCCCTCTCCTTCTATTTAGCCTCATATCTATAGTCTCGTCCCCTTCTATTTAGCCTCATATTTATAGTCCCCTCTCCTTCTATTTAGCCTCGTATCTATAGTCCACTCCCCTTCTATTTAGCCTCATATCTACAGTCACCCCTTTCTATTTAAGTTCGTATCACCTCTCTTTCTATTTAGCCTCATATCTATACTCCCCTGCGCTTCTATTTAATCTTGTATTTACAGTTCCGTCCCCTCCAGTTTTGCCCCATATTTATAGTTCCCTCACCTTCTATTTAGCCTCATATTTATAGTCCCCCACCCTTCTATTTAAGCTCATATTTATAGACCCCTACCCTTTTATTTAGCCTCATATTTATAGTCCCCTCCCCTTCTATTTTGCATCGTACCTATAGTCCCTTAACCTTCTATTTAGCCTCATATCTATAGTCCCCTCCCCTTCTATTTAACCTCATTATAGTCCTCTCCCCTTCTATTTAGCTTCATATCTATAGTCCCCTCCTCTTCTATTTAGCATCATATTTATAGTCCCGTACACTTCTATTTAGCCTCATATTTATAGTCCACTCCACTTCTATTTAACCTCATATTTATAATCCACTCCACTTCTATTTAGCCTCATATTTATAGTCCCCTCACCTTCTTTTTAGCCTCATATCTATAGTCTCCTCCCCTTCTATTTAGCCTCATATTTATATTCCCCTCTACTTCTGTTTAGCCTTGTATCTATAGTCCCCTCCTCTTCTATTTACGTTCATATTTTAACATCCTCTCTTTCTATTTAGACTCATATCTATTCTCCCCTCCCCTTCTATTTCGTCGTGTATTTATAGTTCCGTCCCCTCCAATATAGCCCCATCTTTATAGTCCCCTCACCTTCTATTTAGCCTCATATGTATAGTGCCCTACCCTTCTATTTAAGCTTATATTTATAGTCCCCTACCCTTCTATTTAGCCTCATATTTATATTCCCCTCTCCTTCTATTTAGCCTCATATCTATAGTCCCTTAACCTTCTATTTAGCTTCATATTTATATCCCCCTTCTCTTCTATTTAACCTCATATTTAAATTTCACTTTGTATAAATTAGGCCAGGTTGATTTTTCACTCTTTTCAGAAAGTCAACATTGCCCTTGATGTGCTAAGTACTGACACCAAAAGCTAGAGTCATTTATTTCAAAGGGAAATTATACTGAACAATTTAGCTATATAATAATGTATATTATAGTATGATTTTCAATAAAAAATGCAAATTTAAAAAATTTTTCTTATAATTTGTGCCCAGGAGTATTATGGTATTTCAGGATTCACACAGAAAGAAATTCCATGACTTTTGAAGGACTATGTTAAGAAGTTTCAAAGACTGAAACTGGTGTGTACACACACACACACGCATACACAATGGTCATCAATTGCAAAATCACAATCTTCAAGTCTTAAGGTTAACCATTTTCTTCCTCCATACATCCCCATAAACTGCGCCTCTTACTCTGTAACCCTCTACCTTGAGTTGCTCTTGGTCCCTGTACAGTAGGGCAGGTTGATTTTTTTGCACTCAATTTGAAAGTTGGAGTTTGACGTGATAAGTAATGACACAAAATATTTTTTTCTAATTCTTTACCATTTTTTGAGGAAATCAGTTTGAAGATTTCATTTAGGCTCAAACTCATAGCATTGCATTTTCATTCTGGTGATCAATGAAAGCCTTATAGCACACCTTCATAAAATTTATAATTTTTCTGAAGCTTAACAAATTTTTATGGATAAAATGCATGGCACAAGCACATTATTACTAAATCATTATGCCATCAAATAAGACCTTCATTTGCTTTAAAGGTAAATTCTGCTGAACAATTTAGTTATATTATGAAGTAATATATTATATAGTGCAGTAGTTTTAGTGCCATTTTAATAAACAATGCAAATTTAAAACATTTTGTCTTATAATTTGTACCTAGTAGTATTATGGTGTTATATACAATTTAATCTATTTTTTGTTTTTATTAATTATGATCTAAGAAATCTTATTCATTCAGTAGCCTTTTTTGTAATGTAAGAAAATTTTTTTACACAGTTTTTACTTATTATAATGTGCTTTTGCCATGCATCTTGTCCATATACAATTTATGAAGTTTCATTAAATTATAAATTTTATAAGGCTGTACTATAAGGCTTTCACTGATCACCAGAATAAAATTCCAATGCTACAATTTTGAACCTGAACTTAATCTTCAAATTTATTTTCTCAAAAATGATAGCCATTTGGGAAAAAGTATTTTGTATCCTTATTTGTCCTATCAAACCCCAACTTTTGAATTGAGTTCAATATCAAGCTTCCAACACATATGCATACATATATATTCCAACTACCACACAGACACCAACTTCATCCCTGATAATGACTGTGATAATCAAAAGTACTTGAAGAAAAATAACAAAATATGAACTTTGGAAAATTTATTCACAAATTCAAGCCTAAAACTCAATATCATATCCAAAACTGTTAAAAATAAAACACACAAAGATTGTCAGTTCTTTTTAATCAAACTTGTTTGGATGAATACTTGCCACCTATATATGCATTATTCTCATGGTGGAGTAATGGGTAGTGGCTTGGATTGAGGAATCGCAGAGCCGAGTTCGAATTCCACTCAAATCCATTACATTCCCTTACGTGCTAATACCTTTGGGAAAGGTGTGAATCCTCTTCTTCTCCCTCCAGCTATGGGTAAATAGCAGGATAGACTGGGTTCTATAGCCTTGGATGGCAACTGGTCTAGGAGAAGGACAACTCTGAATTCAAAACCTGTGGAGGGATGTTTGGGGACCTTGTGGCACTTAGTGCGCGAGGTCTCTGTATTCGTCCCTTCAAAAAGTGTGGATGGTCCTGCATGAGGCCTTCACCACTATAATCAAATCTCATGTGCCGTTGTCGTGTTGTCGGTTTCCTGGGAACTGATCTGCTTGACCCACATACGTCGAACTTGATGGGAGAGTCGACTATATATATATATATATATTTGTGTTTTGAACAATAAAAATATTAAAAAATTAAAATCTACAGACACACTGGGTTGTATATTAATATTCTTTTGTTTTATTATTTCAGTTAGATTCTTTGACTAGTTTCAGCCAACATGGCCATCATCAGGAGAAAAAAAATTTCTGCTTGTTAGTAGGCAGTGAACTACAGAAATATTTTATATATATATATATATATTCCAACTTTGGGGGACGAATATTTTCTGTGAAAATTTCTCGGACATTCAGGCTGGTAAATGTTGTTTAATACTGTTTATTATAAACAGAGCATTTACTTAAATAGTTGTATCTATAAAAAGAATGTATAAACATAAAAATGTCTTAATATATATATATATATATATATATATATATATATGTGTGTGTGTGTGTGCGTGAATATATAACACTTTCCACTAAGGCCTACATGATTTGTATTGCAGTCATTCCTATAGATAAAATAGTAAATTAGGGGTAACTTTATGAAGAAAACAATGGTAGAATGGATGATACTGGTTTATGGGGGTCACCAGAGGTTTATTTTGGTTTAACATAGACTTTTCAACTAAATAGAAGAACTTATAGTGTTATCAGATTTTTGTCTTGTTTGTCAGATTTGCAAAACTAAAAAATGATTTTAGACAAAAAATTTAAAATGTTCCGTATTAAACATGTTTTTTTTTCAGCAGTTTTAAATGCAAAAAATAGCCTCAAACTGACCAATGGCTCTGTGAGCAAGGAATTCTTGCTACAAAGGATGATATAATCAAAGAAATATACGCAAATTTTCAAAATACAACTTAATTGTTCAATTCTTTGGAGCTACCTGATGTTCTTCCCCACAGGCTTCAACTAAAACCATTCTTTTCAGAAATCTTGAACTGATGAGAAGCAAAAAAAAAGAAAGATGTGTTTGTTTTCAGGGTCCTTATACTTCTAAACATAGTTATAATATATATGAGTTATAATTAAATTCCCAGGAGTGTTCAGAGACTTACCACCTTCTCATTTTTCACTCCACCTGTATATATGGCTCTGTGTCTGTTATTGAAGGATTAAAAGTCATTTCATTCTGCTAGGATTGACTGATTTGTTTTTTATGGCTTATCAACCTTTTGCAGGTTATTTAAAGCCAGAAACTATTTTTAGATTCTAAGAATTTATTGATACAAGTTCTACTAATTAAGCCATAGAAGAGGGGGAGAAGAGGTAGATTCATATCTTCCCCAAGGGTATTTGTAAGTAAGTTGTAATTTTATCTCATCCTTGTCACCAAAATGATGTAACCTAGGGAAGATTACTGAATAGAATAATCACATAAAGGTTGGTAATGAACAATAATACTTAGAACAAGAACAACACATATAAGATTTGCTAGCAGTATGTAGAAGAAGTAGTCTACGGCTAGAAGTGAGTCAAGTGAATTCCACAATGAATCACCAACTGCAGGATATCTACCAACCGCCCCATGTGGTCAGATGTGGCACAAGGCCAAATTTAATGTGTAGTAGCTGAGCTCATAGGCTTGGTCAAAAATTCCCCATAGACCCTGTATAAAAGAGAGTTGGGTAGCTGTTTCCCAAGACAAGACTCTGCTCTTTGACATAGCCTCATCAGGAGATCCCCTCTGCCTGGAGCCGGAGAGTTTAACAAGCACAGCTGGAGACAAATCTCCAACTGCAGACCAACATACAGTATTTACTACAGTATTTATGTGAATGGGGACATACCCATTATTGTCTGTAGGTATGCTACAACATAAGTAAATATAACAAACTTGACTGAAATTTCCAATTTTGAACTGTTATCCATTATACTACCCAGACATCTAAGCTGTCACCCATCTATATACTGACCAGGTCTGACGTGGCTTAACTTTGGTGATTATACAATGTTCTGGTAAGAGATGCAATTGAATAGTAAGAGGTCCTGCTATATTGCACTGACAGCATGGATATTGCTAATCTCCAGGAGAGCAGCCCATTATGTTTCTTGACTTCACGTTTTCCACTGAAATGAAGTGGAGTGGCTACATTAATCAATTGCTTCATCTACTGCAAAGAAATTTAGTTCACTGTGTCATACCAGATAATTTTTCATATTGGAATCCATCTAATATTCACCCATACATTGAACACTGTTGCTATATATGGTCTGGTGCTCCTGATACTTGACAAAATCGAAAGAAAGATCTGACCTGGCATCTTGACTCTTGACATTTTATTACCAAGGTGATGTGGCTTCCCTCTTTTTCTTTCCTACAAATATGTTTATGTTAACTGCTCAGATGAGTTTTTTTTTCTCCAGGTGCCTTGACTACATGAATTTAAGTGTGCTACTAGATTGGTTACTAGATCTTAGTCTCACACTTTTACTGTTGAACTTGCTAGATGCAACCACCCCTTCTACTCTATTACTTTTCTCACACTTTTCACCTGTGGAACTCCCTTTGAATTTCTTGCTTCCCTGATAACTACGATGTAGTAGACATAGTGAACCAGAACCAGAGAGGAATGGCAGAAGTGATGAACAGGATTTGCCCTATTCTCAATGAAAGTGAATCCGTCTTTGTCTGACATGTAGAACTTTGATCTGAGAGAAGGTGAGTACATTGTTCCATCAAAATGGACCCTTCTTCTTTGTTGTCCCACAAGAAATTGATTCATTAGCAACTGTGTATAATATTAGCATGGTTGGATGGAATTGAGGAGAGACATCCAGGTGTGTTAGTGCTCTATTTTGAGGTGCCTGTATGTCTATTATGTCGATCATCCAGGTGAGTGATCGGTGATTTCCCATTATAAATAGACCATTGTGGAGATGAGAAACATC